AGCCTACGATGGGCAGCCCTGGGTGATCGTAGTGTGCCGAGCATTAAGACAGCCACGTGCGTCACCTGCAAACCCTGCACGTTCAGAGTCAGTTCGTTCTCCCATCGACACTGATTTCCCTGCCTAACTACTCCTTGCCTCTCACGGTTCTCAGTCCTCTTCAGCTCTGTCAGTTCCCCTTGTGCTACACTAATTCACATCTTTCTGCCTCTCATGATTCTGTTCCTGCCAGCTAGAACTTCCTACCCTCTTTTCTCTCTCAGATGAGACCCAAAATATCATCTTGGTAAAACCTAGTAAGGTGATTAAGATATCATTATATCTGCAGATGAGTCAAAAGAAGGCATGTTTACTCAGTGTTAGAGCATTTGGGGAAAAAATATAATATATTCTCTAAATCATGGGTCAGCAAACTATGGCCCACAGGCCAAATCAAGCCCTACCACCTATTTTGTAATTTATTGGAACATAGCCATGTGCATTTGTTTATATATCGTACCATCTTGCTGCCTATGCATTGTATTATCATGCTACCTTATGGCCTGCAAAGCCAAAAATATTTACTTTTTGGCCCATTACAGAAAACATGTGGCAGCCCTTACTCTAAATGAACACTTGTTAAACCAGAGTATGCCTGGAGTTTTCCCTAGCCTTCAACTGATCTTTCTATATCAGGCCAGGCCTATTCGAACAAGAGCTAAGAACACATTTTCTGAAGCCTAATTTTTTTTATATGTTCATAACCAGAGGCAGATGATAAGCAGTGAACATTTTATTAAGTTTAATTTTTTTCTACATAAGCATAGTATATTTTTTATTTGTAGCACTTGGAACTTAGAGATGAGGCATCAGGTAGTTCACGTTAAATTTTTTTTTTTTTTTTTGCACTCCTGCATTTTCTGAAATCTTTAATGCCAGAGAATTTGATGCAGACCTTTTTCTCTGGCTAAAAATGGAATCTTCCTTGTTCCCCCAACTTTATAAATGATAGTAATTTCCCAAAACTTCACTTTGTAGGAAGATTAAAATGATGCTTCATTTATATTCTCTGCCACCTCTTCCCCCAAAAGAGTGTTTGTTTTATTTTGACCAAGAAAAACAATATTCCCTTTCCTACTATTTAGATCATACTTTTAATTAATATTTAGAAATTTTGAAGTAATGTTTTAAAACTCATTTCAAACTTTGGCTCATCACTTACTAGTAATAAAGGTTGAAATGCAACAGATTGTGAATAGGAAGAATGACTATATCTTCATCTTGTGTCTCCAAATGTTCCCCCTCGCGTAAAATCTCATCTCCAGCTGTATACCTTCTCCTCCATGAGGATTTCAGTGACAGCACTCATCCACAAATTCCAACAGCCATTCTAAAGGGAAGAATTGAAAAAAGGAAGGAGAGTTGGAAATAGTTCAGGGGGCTAAAGCTTATTCTGGAATCCATGTAGAAATGTTTGCAATTAAGGTTTGGGAGTGGTAAAAGAAGCTAAGGAGTAATAATAACGATAGCCCTGTGCTAGTAATTGCTCCCTAAATCTGAGAGCTGACGCTGCAATCCTAGCCTTGATATAAAGGTAATTATAGAGCTAAGACTGTCCTGGTGATGTATTGGACACAGAAAAGCACTTTAAGAAATATTGTTAAAAATAGGTTAAATGAACAAAGTTAACCCAAGAACCTGGCAGTATTCTACCAGAATTTTAAATGCCTTCTTTCTTTGGCCCAGCAATCCTACTCTGGAACTCTGTCCTACAGATACAACTGTTCATGTATGAAATTACATGTTCAAGTTTATTTGGTGCAGCATTGGTTATGGCAAAAGATTAGACACAATCCAAGTGTCCAGCAGTAAAGGACTGGATCATAAAATCAGAAAGGCATTGAAGGTTGAACCAGATGAAAGCATGTCCTTTGACATGTGTATTATCTACAAAATAACATTGAAAATGCACGAAAAGGAGACCCTAAAAGTTGCTAACACAGGATGGTAAAAGGGAAATAATTGTACATTACCAAATTTTACTATGTTATAAAATAACAGATTTTAAAAAGTACTTTATCATTTATTTTAACACATTAAAACTGTAGGAGCTTGTATATATTCCATTGTTTTGATTCCCGTACCCATTTGATTTCTACTCCTATATGAACCAAACATACTATTGAGGAGGTGTTCAGGCATGGCCCACTAAGAACTACTCTAGGGGTTTCCCTGGTGGCACAGTGGTTAAGAATCTGCCTGCCAATGCAGGGGACACGGGTTCAAGCCCTGGTCCAGGAAGATCCCACATGCTGCAGAGCAACTAAGCCCGTGCGCCACAACTACTGCGCCTGCGCTCTAGAGCCCGCGAGCCACAGCTACCGAGCCCAAGTACCACAGCTACCGAGCCCACATGCCACAACTACTGAAGCCCACGCACCTAGAGCTCGTGCTCTGCAACAAGAGAAGCCACGAACAAGAGAAGCTCGCGCACCACAGGGAAGAGTAACCCCTGCTCACCACAACTAGAGAAAGCCCGCATGCAGCAACGAAGACCCAATGTAGCCAAAAATTAATTAATTAAGTTTTTAAAAATAACTACTCTAATTGACTCTTAGAGTTTATTCATCTTTGAGGTAAGGGCAGGATGATTAGGACAAAAGTTAATTAGTGCATTTCTTACAAAAATGTATTTCCACAGAGAAACAGCAATTTAAATTCTTTTTGACTTTTAGACCCCACAACTTTTTTTTTTTTTTATTTATTGAAGTATAGTTGATTTACAATGTTGAGTTAGTTTCTGGTGTACAGCAAAGCGATTCAGTTATACAAATATATATACTCTTTTTCATATTCTTTTCCATTATGGTTTATTACAGGATATTGAATATAGTTCTCCATGCTGTACAGAAGACCATGTTGTTTATCTATTTTATATATAGTTGTTTGTATCAGCTAATCCGAAACTCCGAATTTATCCCTCCCACACCCCTTTCCCCTTTGGTAACCATAAGTTTGTTTTCTGTGTCTGTGAGTCTGTTTCTGTTTTGTAACTAAGTTCATTTGTATCATATTTTAGATTGCACATATAAGTGATGTCATACAGTATTTGACTTTCTGGCTTAATTTAGTATGATAATCTCTAGGTGCATCCAGGTTACTGCAAACGGCATTATTTCATTCCTTTTTATGGCTAAGTAGTATTCCATTTTGTGTGTGTGTGTGTGTGTGTGTGTGTGTGTGTGTGTGTGTGTATACAGCACATCTTTTTATCCATTCATCTGTGAATGGGCATTTAGGTTTCTTCCATGTCTTGGCTCCTGTAAACAGTGCTGCTATGAACGTGGGGGTGCATGTATCCTTTCAAACCATGGGTTTCCCCGGATATATGCCCAGGAGTGGGATTGCTGGGTCATATGGTACTTCTATTTTTAGTTTTTTAAGGAACCTCCACACTGTTCTCCATAGTGGCTGCACCAATTTACATTCCCACCAACAGTGCAAGAGGGTTCCGTTTTCTCCACACCCTCTCCAGCATTTATTATTTGTAGACATTTTAATGATGTGGCCGTCCTGACTTGTGCAAGGTTGTACCTCATTGTAGTTCTGAATCCGTTTCTCTGATAATTAGCGATGAGCATGTTTCCATGTGCCTATTGGCCATCTGTATATCTTCTTTGGAGAAATGTCTATTTAGGTCTTCTGCCCATATTTTTTGTGTGTATGTGTGTGGTACGCGGGCCTCTCACTGTTGTGGCCTCTCCCGTTGCGGAGCACAGGCTCCGGACGCGCAGGCTCAGCGGCCATGGCTCACGGGCCTAGCCACTCCGCGGCATGTGGGATCTTCCCAGACCGGGGCACAAACCCATGTCCCCTGCATCTGCAGGCGGACTCTCAACCACTGCACCACCAGGGAAGCCCCTTCTGCCCATTTTTTGAGTGGGTTGTTTTTTTGTTATTGAGTTGTATGAGCTGTTTGTATATTTTGGAAATTGAGCTCTTGTCAGTTGCATCATTTGCAAATATTTTCTCCCATTCTGTAGGTTGTCTTTTTTTTTCTTTATGGTTTCCTTTGCTGTGCAAAAGCTTATAAGTTTGATTAGGTCCCATTTGTTTATTTTTGCTTTTATTTCTATTGCCTTGGGAGACTGACCTAAGAAAACATTGCTGTGGTTTATGTCAGTGTTTTGCCTGTGTTCTCTTCTAGGAGTTTTATAGTGTCATGTCTTATATTAAAGTCTTTAAGCCATTTTGAGTTTATTTTTGTGTATGGTGTTGAGGGAGTGTTCTTAAGTTCATTAATTTATATGCGGGAAGGCTTTTAGCTTTTCACCCTTGAGTATTATGTTGGCTGTGGATTTGTCATAAATAGCTTTTATCATGTTGAGATATGTTCCCTTTATACCCACTTCTTAAAAAGGATTCAAGATGGTAAAAAGGGATGCTTGGAAACTTGTTCTCTGATGAGGTGTGTCTGAGTGAACACAATTACAGGCAGATGCTTGGACCAGATTTACGAATAGAGGAAAACAATTAGAACCTAGATTCTAGTTTCATGTCAGTCAAGTGTAGAGTTTCATAATGGTTGATATATGTGGAGTAAAGGTTTGTGAAGAGTCCAAGATAACAGTGAATTCTGTGCTTATTTTTGGTAAATTGTAATATTGCTTACTTTGTAAAGAAACTAGTCATGATAGAGAGTTAGTTTTATGGGAAAAAGAAATCCGCCTTTTCGATATTTCCTTTAATAAAAGTTAAAATTCTGAACATGCAGAACTTGATTATTGATCTGTGCCTAGGTATTGATGTAACATACTTCCTAAAGTAGTAAATTTCAATTGCATTCCTATGTAATTGTTTGCTGTCGTATCTCTGGATTTAATTTTTAAATATTTGAAAACTAGAGTATGCTTCCAGTTAGATTTTTTACTTGGACAATAATATAAAGCAAAACTATCAGTCATTATTTTCAATGCCATTATATTGTAGCTCGTTGATAGCATGCTTTTTTATGTTTTCAGGATATGGCTTTAGTTGCCCCTGAGGCTCCTTCAGAACAAGCCAGAAGAGTTTTTCAAACTTACGATCCAGAAGGTAAAAGATTTTATTTTTTATTAACATTGCCTCTGTTTTATATTTTCATATGTTTGAAATATATTGATACTTTCCTGAGTTTTATTTTTAAAGAGTTATGGGATTATTGAAAGAAATGTAGGCTTGCATGTCTTGAAATTTTTAAATAGGAAATGGTGAAAATGGGAACCAAAAAAAATAGGAAACTTCAGTGATCATCATATTCTCACATGGTGTAAGGGTTTTGTGTTTCTTGTGGTACTAAAGTTATGGTTACTTGAATCTTGATCTCTGATGGTGTTAAATAGGGAAAAATACCACCTCTTGAATAACTTTTCAAAGAGCTTAAGTCATTTATTTATTTATTCAGATGAATAAATGTTTCAGAATATTTCTTTTTTTAATAATTGAGATATAATTGACATATAACATTCTGTAAGTTTAAGGTATACAACATGTTGCTTTGATATATTTATATATTGCAAAATGATTACTATTTTAGCATTAGGTATAACACCTCTATCACATCACATAATTACTTCTTTTTTGTGGTGAAAACAGTTAAGATCTGATCTGTTAACAATTTTGAAGTTTATAATACAGTATTGTTGACTGTAATCACCATTGCTGTTCATTAGTTCTCCAGAACTTATTTATCTACTAGTTGCAAGTTTCTACCTTTAAACAACATCTCCCCAATTAACCTACCTCAAGCCCCTGGTAACCACCACTCTACTCTGTTTTTACAAATTCAGCTTTTCTAGATTCCACATATAAGTGATATCATACAGTATTTGTCTTTCTACGTCTGATTTACTTCACTTAGCATAATGTCCTCAAGGTTTATCCATGTTGTCACAAAAGGTAGGATTTCCCTCTTTGTCATGGCTAAATAATATCCCATTGTGTGTGTGTACACACGCATAAACACTGTAATCTTTATCCACTGACAAACACTTAGGCTGTTTCCATAGCTTGGCTGTTGTAAATAATATTGCAGTGATTGTGCAGATGTCTCTTTGAACTGCTGATTGCACTACCTTCAGATATATACCCAGGAGTGGAATTGCTGAATCATATGGTAGTTCTGTTTTTAATTGTTTGAAGAATCTCTGTACTGTTTTCTTTAATAGAGATACCATTTTATATTTTCACCAACAGTGCATAAGGTTTCCCCTTTCTTCACAAATTCACCAACATTTAATCTCGTCTTTTTTTTTTTTTTTTTGGCCGTGCCATGTGGCGTGTGGATCTTCCCTGACCGGGGATCAAACCCGTGCCCCCTGCATTGGGAGCGCGTAGTCCTAACCACTGGACCACCAGGGAAATCCAGTCTCCTGTCTTTTTGATAAAGTTCATCCTAACAGGTGTGAGGTGATACCTCATTATGATTTTGATTTGCATTTTCCTGATGATTAGTGATATTGAACAGTTTTTCATATACCTGTTGGCCATTTGTATGTCTTCTTTAGAAAAATGTCTATTCAGGTCCATTGCTAACTTTTTAATTGAATTATTTGTGTTTTTGCTCTTGAGGTCTTTATATATTTTGCTTTATATATTTTGTGTATTAACCTATTATCAGATACATGGCTTGCAAGTATTTTCTTCCACTCTATAGGTTGCAGTTTTATTATTTCCTTTGCTGTGCAGAACCTCTTTAGTTTAATGCTGTCCCACTTGTTTATTTTAGTTTTGCTGGCTGTTCTTTTGCTGTCTTATCCAAGAAATCACTGCCAAGACCAATGGCAAGGACCTTTTTCCCTACATTTTCTTTTAGTAGCTTTACAGTTTGAAGTCTTACACTTAGGTGTTTGATCCATTTCAAATTGTTTTTTGTGAATACTGTAAGATAGGGGTCCAGTTTCATTCTTTTGCATGTGGATATCCATTTTTCCCAACACCATTTATTGAAGAGACTATCCTTTCCCAATTGTATGTTCGTGGCACTCTGATCAAAAATTAGCTGACCATATATTCATGAATTTATGTCAGGGCTTACTATTCTGTTACACTGGGCTGTGTGCTTGTTTTTATGCCAGTAGCATATTCTTTTGATTATTAGAGCTTTGCAGTATAGCTTGAAATCAGGTAACATGATGCCTCTGGCTTTGTTCTTCTTTCTCAAGATGGCTTTGATGGTGCAGTATCTTTTGCGGTTCCAAATAAATTTTAGAATAGTTTTTTCTATTTCTGTGAAAAAATGTCACTGGAATATTGGTAAGGATTGCATTGACTGTGTAGATCACTTTGGGTAGTATGGACATTTTAACACTATTAATTCTTGATATAATCCATGAGCACAGTGTATCCTTCCATTTGTGTTTTCTTCAATCTCTTTCATCGGTGTCTTACAGTTTTCAGTGTCTTATACCTCTTTGGTTAAACGTGTGCCTGAGCGTTTCATTGTTTTTGATGCTATTGTAAATGCAATTGCTTTTTAAATTTCACTTTCAGATAGTTCTTGTTGGTGTATAGAAATGCAACTGATAACAGTATGTTGATTTTGTATCTTCCAAATTTACTGAAATCATTTTTCTAACAGTTTTTTAGTGGAGTCTTTAGGGTTTATAATAAGACCAAGTTATCCACAAACAGAGATCATTTTACTTTTACCTTTCCAATATGAATGCCTTTTATTTCCTTTTTGTTCCGAATTGCTATGGCTAGGACTTCCAGTAATATGCTGAATAGAAATGGCAAAAGTGAGCAATCCTGTCTTTTTCCTGTTCTCATAGGAAAGGATTTTCACTTTTCACCACTGAGTTTGATATTAGCTGTAGGTTTGTTGTTTATGACCTTTATTACACTGAGGAACATTCCTTCTGTACCATATTTTTTAGTGTTTTTATTATGAAAGGATTTTGTATTATATCAAGTGCCTTTTCTGCATACTGACATGATCATACAATTTTTTTCTTTTATAAATGTATATCAGATCTGTTGATTTGCATATGTTGAACCATCCTTGCATCCCTGGAATAAATCCCACTTGATCATAGTGTATGGTCCTTTTAATCTGCTGTTGAATTCAGTTTGCTAATGTTTTGTATCTGTATTCATCAGGGATGAATTCATATGTTTTCTTGTAGTGTCCGTATTTGGCTTTGGTATCAGAGTAATGCTGGTCTCGAAGTGAATTTGGAAGTATCCCCTCATCTTTACTTTTTTGGATGATTTGTAGAAGGATTGGCATTAATTCTTCTTTAGTTGTTTCATAGATTCACCAGTGAAACCATCTGTTCCTGGACTTTTCTTTGTTGGAAGGTTTTGGATTACATTGTCAGTCTCCTTTTTGTTACTGCTCTATTAAGATTTTCTTTGTCCTCATGAGTCAGTTTTAGTAGGTTTTATGTTTCTAGGAATTAATCAGTTTCTTCTCATTTGTCCAATTTGTTGGTGTGTTATTGTTCATAGCAGTCTCTTCTGACTGTGTTTCTGTGGTAACAGTTACAATGTCTCTTCTTTAATTCTGTTTTGTTTATCTTGTCAGAAAATCAGCTGTTAGTTTTATTGCTTTTTTCTATATTTCTGTTCTCTATTTCATATATCTCCGTTGTAGTTTTTCTTCTTTTTTTAGTTTCTTAAGGTGTAACGTGAGGTTGTTTATTTGAGGTCTTTTTGTTTCTTAATGTAGGCATTTATCAGTATAAACTTCCTTCTTAAAACTGCTTTTGCAGCATCCCTAAGTTTTGATACATTGTGCTTCTGTTTTCATTTGTTTCAAGATATTTCTTGATTTCCCTTTTGATTTCTTCTTTGACCCATTGGTTGTTCAGGAGCATGTTGTTTAATCTACATATATTTTGCATTTTCTTCCTGTGGTTTTTTTTCTAGTTTCCTGTCATTGTGGTAGGAAAAAATACTTGGTGTGATTTCAATACTTTTAAATTTGGTAAGACATGTTTTATGCCCTGTCATGTGATCTATCCTGGAGAATCCTTTTCGTACACTTGAGAAGAAATGCATATTCTGCTGCTGGTATATGGAGTGTTCTGTATATGTCTGTTAGGTATATGCTGTCTAAAGTGTAATTCACATCCATTATTTCCTTACTGATTTTCTGTCTGCATGATCAAACTGTTGTTGAATGTGGGGTATTGAAGTCCCCTACTTTATTTCATTGCTCTCTGTTCTCCCTTCAGATTTGTTAATAATTATTTAGTACATTTAGGAGCTACAATATATGGTACATACATGTTTATAGTTGTTATAGCCTCCTGATATAGTCACCCCTTTATCATTACATAATGACCTTCTTTGTCTCTTGTTACAGTTTCTGATTAGAAGGTATTTCATCTGACATAAGGATGACTACCCCGGTTCTCTTTTGTTTTCCATTTGTATGCAATATCTTTTTCGTCTCATCACTTTCAGCCTATCCATGTCCTTGAAGCATAAGTGAGTCTTATAGACTCACATAGAGTTGGGTTTTGTTCTTTTATCCATTCAGCCACTCTGTGTCTTTTGATTGGAGAAATAAAACCATTTACATTTACAGTAAATGTTGATAGGTAAGGAATTACTATTGCCACTTTGTTAATTAATTGTTTTGTAGTTCTGTAGTTTCTTTCTTCTTCTGTTGGTTTCTTTGTGACTTGATTTTTTTTATAGTAGTATGCTTTGATTCTCTTCTTTATGGTTTGTCTATTGCTCTTTGGTTATCATGAGGCTTTTGTAACACATCTTAGTCTTATAACTGTTTTAAGCTAACAACAGCTTAACTTCAATTACATAAGAAAGTTCAATGCATTTACGTGACCTCCATAATTTATTTTGATGTCCCAGTATACACCTCTTTATATTGTGTATCCATTAACATAATATTGTAGATGTAGTTATTTTTAACCCTTGTCTCTTAGCCTGTATGATAGAGTTCAAAGTGATTTACACACCACCACCACAGGATTTTTATTTTTTAAGGTGTAACTGATGTTTAATATTATATTACTTTCATGTGCACAACATAATGATTTTATATTTTTATGTATTGCAAAATGATCACCTCAGTAGGCCTATTA